ATACCCCCGAACTTACGTAATAGGCAGGACCGAGAGTGATAACCGCGTAAGCCGAATTCACGTATATCGGGGTATAATTTCATATGTAAATCATATAAATTAATTTGAGTTGGGACCGGAGATAAAAGAAACTAATAATTTACAAAAAAAGCCTTAGATAACACAAATACAAAATCGCAAACCGAAGTTATTTTGATGCAGAAGGTTCAACAAAGTCTGTTGTATCAAAGAGAATTTTTTTTCTCCAGCACAATTTTCTCGTAGCGTACTTATAATTTGTATTCCTTGTTTTGTTGACTCCTTCATTGGAGTCTATATTTTCTAAAATTTGTAACCCTTTTTCAATTATACTAAGGCCTTCTGTAAAATTACCAACCATCATTGGATCTTCTGGTTGAACTGGGTCTAAAGACTCAAGTTCTTCAATGCTTTACTCTTGCTCATGCATTTCTATGAGCTCATCCATTGTCAGCTCCTGATTATGGGAATCCAGCAGTTCTTGAACGTCAACACTATCCACTTTTAAATGTACAACCTCTCACTATAAAGTTCGGTGAATTGTCCTGTAACATTAACGTAGATGAAATATTAACGAAAGATACGCTACTGCCCTTCGAAATAGTTACCCCCCCCCATAACTATGCACCACTGAGATGCTATACATGCCTGGAAACTTTGCAAGAAGTTTTCTTTTGCGATGGAATTCAAAAAGCCTCGTCACGTTTCTTTAGATGTCAGAAATATCGTCAAATCTTTTTCCTTTCAAAGCGAGTTTGAGTCATAGGAATAGGAAGAAGTCTGGAGGATTGAGATCTGGGGAGAATGGTGGATGTTCAATTTGTACCACCCTCTATTTTGCCGGGAACTGTTTGACGATCTTGGCTGTGTGAGAGCGAACATTGTCGTGAACAAAAAAAAAATAATCATGAACCTTGTTGTGCTTACTGGGGTCGTACCCTGCGTAGACGTTCCATGAAACGGGTCAAAATTTCAACGTACCTTGCAGCATTCCTCGTCCAGCTATCATGCGCACAAGTAATCGAAGATCTTTCGTGATTAATTTACTCACTTTCTGAATGTTTTCGTCATTGATGGAGGTCGCCGGTCTTTCGCTATGGGGGTTGTCAGAAACGCTTTCCCTGCCTTCTCGAAAACAGCGGACCACTCGTACCCAAAGTATGGACAGTGTTTGATCTTCATAAGCACGTATCAGCATCGTATAAGTTTCTGTCGGTGTCTTACCAAACTTAAAACAAAACTTTAAATTGATCTTTTGTTCGTTCATTTTCCTGTTTTGAGTTAAGAACCAACGCACTAAATAAGCACTATGCAAAACGAGTCTTACACGGAACACAAACGACGCTCAACTGAGCAAGGGTCAGTTGATGGTCAACACCTACCGCTACGCATGTGCAGCGTTTTGTTTCGGCAGTATTGCCAGATCGACCCTTCTGACTTCATTCACCGAACTTTAGTGTCAGATGTATTTACCGACAACTCTTCTTCAATCACGTTACCAATTTCATCAAGCTCTGGCACTGATTCCACCTGAGTTTCAGTGATGGAAAAAATGAATCGGCGAGATTTAAAAGTCACGTAACTCCGAATTCGAATAAGTCGAGGTATTGCTATACATCAGAGGAAACAAATGCGGACTTGTAGCCTGTACGATATATCTAAAATCCAGCTTAATTGTCTTTATGATTAGCGTCTCTATAGTTATGAAATAATTCAAAAATTAATTGGAAGAATTTAGAGATTGCTTGAAAATAATGAAATATATTCACAGACAGAATGGAACAATTATTTCTTTTCTATTTAAATATTTAAAGTTAGAACAGGGGAATAATTTTACATGTAATCAAGTATCAATAAAATATTGACTTTGATTTAATATCATAATAAAACGTAGTTAAATGTATTATGATAAGGCTTACTTGAACATGACTTGGTCCTCCTAGTGAGAATTTAATGAAATAAAATCAATTCAACTCAAAAACACGTGGAATTAAAATTCAAATGTAATAAATTAAAATCTAACTATTGCTTTTTAACTAAAAAATAATAACTTTAAAAAAAATAATTGATTTATTTTGAGGTAAATATTATCAAAAATTGGTCGTTTAATTTAAATCTGGCGAGTAAATATATAACTATATGATTAATTAAGATTATATATGCAGTTCTAGAAATACCTTTAAAAAATCAAAAGGTAGTTTGAACAGGGTTTAACACATTTTTAAAAAACACAATTGCTGCCCTTTACATTTAGTTGAATCGTTAATTATTAAAGGTTCAATTAATCTGATAAAAATTAATGAATCGCATGCAATGATAAAATAAAAATTATTTAATAAATAACACATAGAAGATAAAATAGATATAAAATAAAAGAAGTAATTCCATGCAATAAAACATCAATATTCGAAAAGGCTTTACATATAAATGAAGCCAAGGGGATAAAGGAAGCATGATTTATAAAAATTATTTATTAAAGCTTATACTTATTTATATTCTTTATACTTAAATCCGAAAAGATAGTTAATTACATTTTGATTTGAATTATTAATTCGAAGTTTCATTTATTAAAATATATTTTAACTGATCTTGCAATTCAACGTACGGTTATTTTGTGTTAGGTGTTTCATTTTACATTGATTACATTTGTTAAAATAATAACGTAAAATGGACATTTACAGATTAAACCTTTTTTATATAATATGCAAATGAAATTTTATAACACAAAAGGAAAGGAAAAAGGAAATGCAAAAAATGGGAAATTTAAATAATTTCGAAAGAATTTTTTAAAACTTTAAGCTGAAAAATACAATTAAGAAAGAAAATGCATAATTTCAAACGATGCTACCAGATTGGGAAGAAGAAAGTAATAATAAGCAATTTGCAGCTTTTTGTAGCTTTATTACAATTTCGGAATATTCTACTACGTATAATTTAATCGCAATAAAAATGTCATTGGAACTAAATAATTTAAAATTTGAAGAATAAATCATTCTTATGGATACTCTATACTTTAATCATTAATAATATAAAAGTTCTGATAAAAATTATATCAGTTGCGAATTTTTGTCTGACAAATAATGTGTAATGTAGTACTGTTTTCCTTTTGGTTAAATTGTTCTAAGATTTCTTTTTTATAGAACATCCATTCATAAGAAATAGTTTATTGTTAAATTTTTTGGAATACTTATTTATTGTTTGTTTAGCCTTTATAATACAGCAAAATTATGATATATTTCGAATCATATACTCATTCACATCAAAATATTTTTCAATTATATTTAAATAATAACCAAAAAAATTTACAAGTTTTTTCAACTCTAATATTACCGCTAAATCACCTAAAAGAAATATGCAGAAATAAAATTTTCAAAGCAAGGAATGGTAAAAATAATAACATCGATATTATTTAGAAGTTCTTTCAAACTATTAGGCATGCATTTAGAGATTTAAAATTAATATTTTATTTTAGAATAGAACATTTGTAAATGAAATTACAGCATTCATATTTTATTTTAAGAAATTATTTAGAATAAATTGTAGTAGGAAACTTTTGGTTTTAGAAGAAAACAATATTTTGGAAATAATATGTTTAAAATACCCTTTAACTATATATTTCAATGTTTTTATTATATATTTTTCGGCAATTGTTTTTGTTATTTTTTAGTTAATTAAAATGGTAGAAAATATAGGCGGTGTTTTTTAAATATATCCCGAAAATTTTCAAACAATGTAATTTCTATGGTATATTGTTTGAAAATAAAAACAAACACCATATTTAATAAAGATATATGCAAGTAAACGAAAAAAATATTTAAAATCTATTTTCAGGATAAAACTACATATTGTTAAAGATGTATAAATTCAATTTTTAACATTTAAATACAAACGCAACTATAGTAACAGATCTTTTGACTAGTTTAAAATTCAACGATACAATGTTGTAGAGTTCCCACAAAATAAAAACATTTTATTAAAAAAAAGGAGAATATTCACAGTTTGCAATGAAATATTGAGTGCAAAAGTTTAAACACTGACGAGAGTGCCACAAGACGGGCATTTGCAAACAGCGGCACACGATGCAGACAAAATTTTTTTTATTGCAAAAGATGCCACAAATGCACAATTTAATCTTATACTCGCTGTGCGTACGAACACAATGTGCACATAACAACATTTTTTTTTTAAATAAACATTTGTTATTGCTACAGAACAAGCATTTTCTTTTGGCCGCCGAAGGAAATGACAAAGAGATAAAGAGAAAGAAGAGTGCAAAGCTGATGCTTTTGTATTTCTTTTTCTTTAAATTTTTTTTAAAGCAAAAAAGAAAACAAGATGCAAAATGGGTTTTCACAGAGGAAGATACAATGCAGGGAGGCAAAGAGTGAGCGAAGTGCGATGCAGAAGGGGTTGTTCTACTTACCCTATTTTGGGTCTCTCCCCCGAACTACGGAGGACGTCTACTCTTCTCGTCGACAACAACCCTGGTGAGAAACGGCACCCAAATTAGAGCATTTACATTTCTCTTTATAAATAGCACACTTTGCACTCTACTGACTCTTTTTTTTAAAAAAAAAATTGAGTTAAAATGGTTTTAATGATAATCAAAAAAAGATCCCGAAGTAGACAATTACGAATTTTGTATAATCGCGAACATATCTAAAGGTAAAATAATGATAATTGATCAGATGTAAAACAAGTAATATAAAAAAAATTAAGCCACTTCCTACTTAGGTCAACAAAGAAAAATTTATTTTAGCTACTTTTTATTAGATAGTTACAAAGAATATAAATATGTATAAACTAATTACAGAATCACAATATTAAGTGACAAAATATAATGCGATTTTCCTTGCAATTTTCTATTTTCCTTTCTATGTATGGTGTTGGACCATTTTTGTTTGTAACAATTTATTCATTAATTACATTTAATTATTCTAATAAAATAGCGTAGTAAAAAAATCACATTCTCAAAAATTAGCCATCCCAGGTGGGCTTCGAACCCATGACCTTTGGATTAGAAATTCAAGGCGCTATCCATTGCGTTACAGAGACACGACGCGAACGGTTTTCCCTCCTATATATGCTGTTGGACTAATGCTTTTGTTTGTCACTATTCCTTAACTTTTAAATTTAATTAATGAATTAACATTTGAAAAAACTGTATTAACATCAAGTGTCATCCACTACAAGTTTAAACAAAGGTATTTGAACTTGAATGGATGAATAGAAACTGTTTTATTAATAATTAAAATTTTGAACAAGATTATAAATATATATATATAGGGAGAGAGTGAACTAACAGTAGGAATTGAAAAAAAAAAACATTCTTAAAAGCTTTCTCAATTTTCAAAGTAGCTACATACAGTTGATATTAATGTTTATAGTTCAAAGATAAACTAAACTATGGTGCTAATTAATTGGTAAATTAATTTAATTAACTTCTAAAATAATTTTCTATTACGGAACCTAGTTTCTTACAGAATTTTATAGAGAATGGTCTAAAAAGGTTATGCTTTAAATTTCAAAGAAATCTAATCTTTAGTTCATATTCAAAGAAAATTGTTTAGGGGTCATGCATTAGATTCCTTCCGTGTAAGCAATTTATAATATTTTTCGCGTGTAACTAACTACACGTGATATAAGTGGAACAATAATTAATATAATACATTAGTGTTTGGCTTTTAGAGTTCTACGATGCCAAATTGTAATAACTGATTTTAAGTATTAAGTACTATTGAGACTGGAATGGTACTGAATTTTCGATTTAGGGGTTTTATGTAATAAAAAATTGAAAAATTCCCACATTCCCCACAAAGAAAATCCCGGATGAGAAGTATTTCAGTACCATGGAACAAACTTTACCTTTTTAAAAACACTAGTATCCGAACACGTTCAGAGTACTTTTTAACAAAATAGCATACTAAAACATTATAAATGCTCTTTTAGGACTCAATGCCAATAAATATTACTATATATTTAACTATCAAAATTTAAAATAAATTACCTGAATTTTACTAAAATCACAATTATAAGTGAAATTTTAGCAATATTTTTGAAAAACTTCAAAGCAGTTAGAGAAAAAAGTAATAAACATATATTAGTAAAAGTTTTACTAAAACAACTGAGATGCATTTATCTAGAAAATGTACTAAAATTTTAGTTTTTTATTAAAATTTGAAAATTTTAGAGCTGATTGAGTAAACATTATAAGAAATGTTGCGTTTTTTATGAGACCATTTTTTAAATAACAAGCCATAACTCAAAAAGTATTCATACAATAAGAAATATTTTAGTACATTCTCTAGAAAATAACATAAATATCAGGTTCAAAAAGTTTTATAGAAATACATTCGTAAATATCAGGTTCAAAAAGTTTTATAGAAATACATTCGTAATATTTTGAGTTATCAGACTCACCATTATAAATTTTGAGCAATTTAAATGCCTACTTCTGGTAGATCAAAAACCCACTTCCGGTTTTTCTAAATTTATAAAATGGATTGTAACTTGACCTCTAGGCAGTGTAGAAACAAAACAAAGTATGTTTCGTAAAGTCAAAAGATTGCTCTATTCAATAAAATAAAAAACAAAAATATCTGTCTTGACTGCATTTGGTCCTTTTCAACGTGTTCGGATACCTTAATCTCACTATAAGAATGAAAAATATAAGCAAATCAAAAGGTAGAAAGAAAAAAATATGAGTGCCCGTACAGCGTACGGGCAAATTGGTTGTGGTTAGCTTTCGGTAGCCCGTACAATGTACGGGTCAGCCAGTTACGGGATTAAATCGTCAATGGGGTTTAAATTTCCTGGTGATTCATTACAGTAATAGAAAATCTGATTCACTGTTTTGAGTTATCACTAGATGCGAGCTATGACTTAATAGTTTAGTAGAAACTAACGAGAGCTAGAGTCTTTTAGAAGCCTTTTTGAGTAATATTCATCATAAAATAAAAGACATAGAAGTTTATGTTCGACTCTTTGCAATAGTACAAGTCAAGTTATCCAGCCATTAAAAACTAAGATCCAAGATGTAAAAATTCTGCCAACGCTAAAATAAAGACCTGCTCCTTATTTTGTGTGTATTTTACAACATCAGTTATAAGAGTTATTTTTCAAAAATGAAATGAATATTTATTTAAATTATGTTACAAATTACGAAGTTTCAATGTAAATTTAAGCATGTAATTTACTTCTTTCACGTGTACTAATAATTACAATATTTTTGCTATGACTCTTGTTATACAAACTGAAGAAATAAACTTCATTATTTTCTAATACCTTCAAGAATTACAATCAACAAATATTTCAAGCCTTTTGATTACAAATTGCAGAATATTTTTGACATGCAAAAATCTTCACGCAAGAAAAAAAAATAAATAAATAAATAAATAAAATAAATAATTTTTTTCCTATAAATAAGACAAATATAAGGAAACTAAATTAAATAATACATGTTCGAAAAATTAACAACTTTTTCCGAGAAGGAATTTTAATTATTTATATCTTAATGATAAGGCAACAGCGATTATTGATAAAAATGATTTTGTATTGTATTAATGTTATTTAACTTTATTGAGTTAAAATAAGTACAATAACAAATAGTTCCAATAAGTATTTGAAAGTCTAAAAAAAACAAGAATAAAAGGGAAAACTTTTGACTGTGATAACTTCTTTCCACTTTATAATTTTATTAAAACAAACAAACACAGGAACAAACAAAAATTATTTTAAATATAAAAACAAATAAGAAAGGTTCGTATTTTGTACCTTAATAATGTTATTTCAAATATTTTACTCTATACTTTTGATAGCATCGATCCAAATTTTATTTCGTTTATTTTGAAAAATGAATGTGCAATTTATTTTAAGCCTCTTGGGAACCGACACAACTGTTCAAACTTGGCGTCGTGTTTAATCGCCAAGGTTCCAAGGCCGCCAAAAATATCTCTGTATCAGAAATACGAGAGTAAATAATTTTTACTTTAAATTTTGTTCTTTCGTCTCGCAGATTTTTATACTTGAGTAATCTGTACCATTGATCAAAATTCTTAACTTTAATATTATACTGCAGAATAAAACATTTATTTGTGTGTGAACTTAATAAATTGTCGAAATATTAACAATATTTCCATTTGATTTATTTTAAGTAATAAAATATAAACGAAAAGGAAAGAAACAACCTTTCATTTATGAAACTTACGATACTGAGCTTATTCAAACTTATGAAAGAACATGACATTGTCTGGAGAACTGTTTTTAAATACATACAGAGATGTAATTTTTAGATCAATTTAATATTTTTAAATTGATTTCTTGAAGCTACTATCTTTTATTAAATCTTTGCAAGTGTAGAGTTATAAATTTTATTTTCAAGATAAGTTTGACATGTTTGTTTGAAATTGTACTTTATTTTGAGCATAATAAAAATAATTTAAATTAAATGGAAAGATATTTTAAAGAGTTTAAACTGCCATTTTTTAAATACGTTTCAATTAAAATACGTCTTAATAATTTTAATAAATTTTTATGATTTAAAGAAGAATGTAATTGGTTTTCGAAATAAAAGATAACCATATCATTACATTTTCGTTAAAAGGCTATTATATTTTTAAACATAGAATGAAACCTTAATAGTGAAAATTATATAAGAATGTAAATAAAAGTCTATAAATTTTATGTAAGTATTACCTTTTTAAATTGTAAAATTCTTTAAAGTGTCTAAGGTATCCGACTACCCTAAAATTGGGAATTTTACCAAAAGTTGACAACTTTTTTTATGATTATATTCTATAGACCATTTTATTAGCTTTAAAAAAATACCAAGTTTATTATTTTACGTTCAATAGAACAAAAACTACAAGTGTTTTAGTAAAAGCAGATGCTATTACTTTAAGCAAGATATATGCCATACTTTAAAACGCGTTTTACTCGAAATGTGTTTTTTTTTGAAAATGCTAAAACAGCGATTGCTCAAAAAGTTTTGAAAATAATTAACTGTGAATTTTTTTTGTATGCTCTGTATAACAGTAGAAGCGTTTTAATTTTCATATTTATCAATCACTGTTTTATTACCATATTTACAGTCCCTTTTGTTAATATTGTTGTCACTTTTATTTTAAGCCATTTCATATAATAACTAAGATAAAATGCTCTAGTTTTTGAAAAAATTAAAATATTTCTTGTCCTGAAGTTCATTTTAAAAATGAATAACATAGTAACACATCAGAATTGAAAAATTGAAAATTTGTTCATGAATTTTTGGTACAGAATGTTATTTTACAGAGTCTTTTATGTTATTTCTTGTAAATTTTTACCCATTTTCCCCCATTTTAGTAAGAATAATTTCATTCATCTTCTTAATTTTAACATATTTTCTTAAAATGTAGTAAACAAATCTAAAAACTACAAAAAAAAAATCCCCATATCTCCATTTTTAAAAAAAAATTGTCGCAAGTAGTCGGATACCTTAAATTCTGAAAAATACTCGGTTTAAAAAATTGAGCAGATGCTATCAATGTTTTTTATGACCACATTATTGTCTGTAACACATACTTATGCATAACCTGATTTATTTTATATTTGGAATATGTTTTAAATAATTTTTTTCAAATAAAACTCTATAGAATTCTTATGAACAAAAAATATAATACATCTGATATGAATCAAATCTAAAAGAATAATATTTCCCATAAGATCCGAAACAAGTTGAAATCTTTACTTTCTGTTTTGGTGAACAATCAGACTGTTAAACTGTAAACATATTCGTAAAGAAATTTTTCCTGAAAATAATATCATATTCTTATTTCACTAACATGTACAAAGCAAAATATTTTAATGTATCGTTTATTATTATTTAAATTGCTTGCTTTTTGAGACAGAATGTGTATACATTGATTTTAAATGAATTTTAAGTTTTTATATTTAATTTAACTATTAACCTTTTAAAATTTTTAAAATGATTGTTATTACTATTAAAATGATATATATATATATATTATATATATATATATATATATATATATATATATATGTGTGTGTGTGTGTGTGTG